CATAAGAACAACCAGTAAGCGATGCCTGCATCCTGATTGAATTTACTGTTCAGCATTGCCAACCCTCCTAAATTTAGCACTAAGCGTTGCCAGCATCACCCCATGCAGATCCTCTCATAAATTTTTACCATTGATTTCCTATACAAATAGCTTTACTGCCCTAATTTGGTGTTTCTTTGGAAGTATGGGCCCCTAAATCGTTGGCCACATAAAAATTTTATGGCAACAAGATATTTCACAGATAATGAATGGCTCACATCACGTACATGTAGCTTTAGATCAATGATGTGTTGTTGAAGTGGACAATAAATCAGAAGTAAGAAGATTTAAGCCAGGAACATGGTCTGGACAGTTTGGTTGTTAATATCTAGTACAAGCTGTATCACTATGTAACACTCTTTCTGCGATTGCACCTTTGTCTGTTTTCTGTCAAAATGGTGCTTCTTCTGTTATACAATCAGATGCAATAAATAAACTAATAACCAAGTACCAGTGTGTGCATCTTCCATTTCATAAGTTGTTCCCAAAAGTAGTCTATAGTTTCAAACAACAGAACATTGTACCTTACAATGCAATGCTTACAATGTACCTAACAGTAACAGGGCTCAAAACACCTGCATATGCAGGTCAATGCAGGTAAAATTGGAGCTGTTCAGGTATTTCTGATATCTACCTGTACCTAACCTGCACTGGCCCATGTACTGGGTATATGCAGGTCAGTGCAGGCAAAATTGGAACTGTGCATGTATTTCTGATATCTACCCGTACCTAATCTGCACTGGTCCATGTACTGGGTATATGCAGGTTGGTGCAGGTAAAATTGGAGCTGTGCATGTATTTCCGATGTCTACCTGCACCTAACCTGCACTGGGCCATGTACTGGGTATATGCAGGTTGGTGCAGGTAAAATTGGAGCTGTGCAGGTATTTCTGATATCTACCCGTACCTAATCTGCACTGGCCCATGTACTGGGGTTACATGTATGTATAGGTAATCCTCAATTATTCAGTAAAAAAGGTTTTCGAGCCCTGAATTGTACCTTACAACTTACAAGGAAGCTCACCTTATCCTGCTGACATGTGTTTACAAATTGTTAGGTGAAGGAGTGAATCTTTAGGCGTAGGAGTGAATTATCCAGTAAGTGTTCTGTGACCCACTTTCTTCTGACAAACCACATATGCCTTGTTATCAACTGTTACAATGTACTGTTCAATCACTTTCACAACATTTGGCTGATCACTGCATAGCATAGAATCTCGAAGACTCGTTCCAATGTCTGGCATTACTGTAACACCATCACACAGACGACAAATAAATTTTCAGTTGGTGATTGTATTTAGTACGTCGGCAGAACGTACTGTGCATGCACAAAACCTGTAACGTATATGTTGTGCATAACACTGCAGCAGAACATCTCAATTAAGGCTGTAAATTTGCGCACCAGGTATGGAAACTACATACTAGTCCTTTTTGATCTCCAAACATGAAGGCATTTGGCTAACATTATTTGCCACCTTTAAGCCGGTGCAATAGCCAAGTGGGTAGAGTGCTCGCCTTGCATTCGGTAGGTCGTGAGTTCAATCCCCGGCCGAGTCATACCAAAGACTTTAAAAATAGTACATATATACTGCTTTCTCTGCTTAGCACTCAGCATTTTAGATGGAGTGCGGGAGTTAAACACACGTCACTACCAGTGGGCTAGCCCCCTGCTATAGTGACACAACTGTGTGGCCCAAGGGGTACAGAAACAGAGATGGGCACCGCCATATGCGACCATGCTAATGGTTGCGGGGTGGATTTTAACTTCAACTTTTTTACTTGCCACCTTTTGTTTCCTACAATCCAACAAATGCCAAGTGCAAACCCCTCCAGAATCTCATGATATCGACTGATATATTCCATTTTCCCCTTTTGGCCAAATGCCAGTATTACACACTATATGCCATGAGCATGGGACATCAATAAAAAATAATTTCTCAATAATCGGACCCTCCTCGTTAATGATTTTGATTTTTCCGCCCACAGGCACACCTGCACCCCCACTTGTTGTACAATGAGTTCACTGCGCTGGAATTCCCCCGCAGGCTGCACAAGACTGACCTGGGCAAGCAGACGTTGTACAGGGACCACACCATGACTGGCTGGTCAGTAGCTATAGGGTTGGGTAACATGGGGGTCGTGGCAACACTGAACGGTAGTATGAGGGTCTGCATGGGGGTTGTGGCAACACTTAATGGTAGTATGAGTGTCTGCATGGGACTCTGCAACACTAAATTTAACTAAGATAGCCCAACAACTGTACATGTCTGTAAACCAATCAACTGTACATCAACTACGTATCTGCCTGTAACTTTTACGTGTACCTTTATACATTTGTTATGTGTTTAATACCATGTAAGTCCATCACACTGTAATGTACATGTATTTATTTTCTTATTTCAGGGCACCAAAGACCGTCACAGAAGATGACTTAAAATTTCCGTTAATTTTTGGAGAAGGAAAAAGGGTATGTCACTGGGTTTATTTTATAGATTTACGGTCTTGAAAATTAAGATACATGTACAATGAGTTGTTCAACTTCCGTGCAGGAGTCTTAACTGACAGTTTTTAACCTTCATGCAATTTGTCCCCCTCCAGTGCAGAGTTCTAGCCACGATAGGCGTGACGCGAGGATTTGGTGACCACGATCTCAGGGTTTATGATTCTCACTGTCTAATCAAGCCATTCCTCACAGCAGCACCAGAGGTACGGCAAGGTTTCTTGACTCTATGGTTGCTGTTGGTATTAAATGTGTGCACAGCCACGATACATTACAATAATTATGCATATGTCTCGCTGTCAGTCATCGTGCATCTAAGTCCAGTCTTATTAGCATTATTAGTTCAATTCAAGTCACCCAGGTGACCAATTATTTGGGTTATCTTGGTGACTTGAATTGACATTGGGAGCAGAGATGGACCTTTTTCTAGGGGGGGAACTTCTAAGTTCTGTGAGGGGGAGGGGATAAGCTGGGGTGGGGAGGGGCTGGGTAGAGAGATAAGACTGTCTTGTGGAGGGGGTTCTTAAACTGCCACCCTGCGTCGAGCCACCCGGCTGAGACGTTGTCGGTTGGATGAATAGAATTTCGTGTGAGCAAGCTGAAGAGATAATAGACACAGTGTTAAAACTTGCAGCTGAGATTAATTATTTTGCGATTAAATATATTGTTTTTGCTCAGTATCTTCTTCTTCTTCCAAACAAATAAGGTCAATGAGCTGGACCAGACGTTTGTCACCATGGTAACTGGTGCTGTGGTGGGTTCCCTGTGGGGTTGGGTTATATTATGTAGCAGAACAGAGTTGGAGAGCTTGCTCACCATACATATGGATGTATTTACTATTGGACTTTGAGTAAGAATAAACAGTGTTTGTTGGACTAGACATTATACCTTTGCTTTGCAAATGTTACCTTTCTAGTTTTTTTTTCTTGTTTTTAAAATGTTGCTTGTACTTTCCCACCCTTAGATCCAGACGTATGACATGCTGGAGCAGCGGTTTGGTGAGGACGACTTCCTGATCATGGCGTCGGACGGGCTGTGGGACGTCGTGGCCAATCAGGACGCGTGCAATGTGGTGTTAGATGCGCTGACACAGTTTCACCCTCAGGACCCCAATAGGTATGGACTGTGGAAGAAAATGTGCAGAAGTCTGAGTCAGACATAATGCGTGGAAGTACCAGTACTTTCATACTGTAGATAATTAAAATTCATGGTTGGGGGAAGTTCAGGAGGCCATATTCAGCTACATTTATGATGGGCTTTTTTTGGTTTGTTTTGCATAATCACCTTTAGGCATAACACACCAGTTTTGTACAGTATCGGTATGTTCAAGTTGCGTAAGACTGGACTGTAAGGTTTGAACCACTCACGCCAGTAAGAACCAATAGGTCCCGGGTTCGATACTCACCATGCCCGACATTGTGCCCTTTGGATAGGCACTTTATATTACCTTCCTTTGCCTAATGGTGGAGTGATGCCCATCAAGCCTCTTTGACTAATCTGTCAAAAATGTGTGTCTATAACACACTATGGATTTGGTGCACCAATGTGCCAACATCTGCACATTTGCCACCAAGAACCGTAAAAAATTTTTTCCTCCAGATACACGTCAGCAGCCCAGGAGCTGGTGATGCACGCCCGCGGCACGCTGCAGGGGAAGGGGTGGCGCCGCCCCGCCGAGGACAAACCCGCCTCCGGGGATGACATCACGGCCTTCATCATCCCGCTATATCACTATGGCAACCAGCACCTGTCCAGCCCCATCGTGTTATCTGAGTCGGAGGAGAGTTCCACCAGGGAGATGGAGACAGAGACAGAAGCAGAGGCCGACCCTGGCCCGGACTCATTAGATCCATGAGGCAGCAGCGGTCGGGCTAATGCCTCGGGCAGTATGGAATACCCCATGTTGTATTTTATTTATGTCATACCTACACAAGAAAACCCGCCTTTCAATGCAAAATGAGTCAAAATTTGGTGTCCCTAAACCTAAAAATGCAACAACATCAATTACAACGTCCAAATTCTGTATCAAATTTTTGAAAGTGGTGCACGCGGTTAGGGTATAAACTTGTTTGAATCGTTCTGTGGAAGCCATGGAAAGTACAGCCCGGTCCGGAACACCCTTTATTGAACGTTATTGCGGCCTGGGTATGATATAAATATTTGTATAGCTTCTCCGGGGAATCTCAGCAATAACACACAGGGAAAAGTGGGTCCTTTCAAAGTTGACAGGATTTGTGTACTACTTACCAACTTCTGAGAGCTGACAGGTTTCTTTCTTACAGGCAATCAGTTTCCTTGAGATCTGTTATAAGGGGGCACACCTGGTTCATACTTGTAAGCACGTCGGCAGGACGTACTGTGAATGCACAAAACCCAGATATCTTACAGTTTTTGTTGGGTGTTTGTCGACGTTGCATCCAAATTTTTCCCATTGCAGGCGACTTCTTTTCCAACACGACATTTGAAAGACAGGATGTTGTCCTTAAATATGTGAATACAACCTTGGATAAGACATTCTGACGAAGTGATATGCACGACACAGATCCTATCGACGTGCTATAAACTTTTACATGTACCTTTCTGCCGATCACCTCTGTACAGAAAACATTCAGTCAAACAACTAACAGGGTATTGTTGGGAATTTCTCGTGAAAACCATGACGTTGTCAAGAACAAAATAGTTGCATTCTCAATGGTGTCTATTAGATTACACAAAGAGGTTAAAGTATTGTTCAGAAGAACTGTAATTACTGATTGGTGTCGTAAATGTCCGTGTGAAAGTGTCCGTGGTGTAACTTTTTGTGCTATAACTCGATCTGCTTGTATTTGTATAGCATAAAAGCCTACAAAGGGATATGTATATGTTCTTCCAAGAAAAAACTGTATCTACAAATGCAACAAAGATGTTTACCAAGAATCCTGAGCAAATTTAAGAAAAATTTAGGAGTCTGAAACCATTGGTCAAGAGAACTTGAACCTCTTTTTATACTTTTGAATTTTAAGGTTTTGTAGTTGGAAGTTATGAAATAAATTTGGTCTCCTTGAACATGAAACATTGCTTAATCAAAATTGAAATTATTGTTTCCATTGTTTGAAAATACATAGCAAGCTTATTTTAGGTAACACCATCAAAATGTAAGCTACCAGTAATGCATCTTTGTCACAAGAGAAATACATACTGTCACAGTGGAGGGCTTCCCAAATGTATGCACTAGTGTTGCACCCTGTGTTTTCAACCTATTTATAGTTATAAAGGACAAAAATGCCTAACAAGGACAGGTTTACATGTACATTTATGTCATTATTCACTACCAGTAGATGTTTTCAAGAACATTCTTCCCTTGGTAGTCCTTTGGAGTCGAAGATGACTGTTAGTCAGTGTGTGTGTGACCATACAACATACAATGTTGTGCATGCCTACACTGTATGATAATGTTAGATGTGCAATGGTTGTTGGTATCAGAGTGAAGTCAGCAAGTTTTTTTAGATTCTAAAACATGACATAAACAACGTTTACTGTATGATACGCATGTAGCATATTGAGATATCCTCTTCTAGACTATGCAACTGTTGCTGTAAGATCCATGTCTATTCACTGTACTATACTCTTACTTATACTAATAGCAGTGTTCTAGCAAATCTCTTTCCATATCTTTAAGTGCTGTTTTTTTTCTGTCAAAAATTATAGATGGGCAAAATTTTTGTCACGAGCTGCAAAATTCCATCAAAGGGAGGAAAGACAGACACTAGCTAGAACTAAGGACGTAAAAATTTTGGATTAAATAAGCTAAGTCTACCGTCAAAATTTGCCCCTCAAAATGCAGGAAATATAAGCATTTCACAGTAGGTCAAGTTTTCTAGATTTTCTCGGAGGCTCACGCCCCAAGACCTCCCCTTACGAACATCACAACATTAAGTTATGTCATCCAAAAGTGCATGTCATAGTGGAAAAATATTTCAGGCTGGCTAGAACACTGAACTATAGGCCTCATTTCTTTCGTTATTTTCTGTGCAAGTTCCCTCCTCATATATTAAAATATTCACTTGTTGCTGTTACATACATTTGTAGTGTTACAGCTGTCAAATATGTTCACAATCATTCTGCAAGGATTCTGCAATCGTAACATGACTAAAATAACATTTTTAATGTTGCTAGGGTATGCTTCACCTTGCTAAGGCACAGCATGTTGTATAAAGCACTACTGGTGGTTAATCTTTCTCTGACGCACTAATCTTATGTTTTTCAGTTCAAATATTGTTTATGGGATAATCGACTGGTGAATCCAGGCTGCCTACATGTATGTCATGCATGTCAGACCTTAGCAAGTTTTGAATGAATTAATGAATGAAGATCTTTATTGTACATACAAACCCACTGGGTTAAGCACAGGTCACAACAAACGAATATGATGTATATAGTACTACATGTATACATTGATGCTGCTTCCTTAGTGTTCTGCAAACTTAAGGCTTTTCTGCATTTGAACTTGTATTTGTGAATTACATTGACATAGAGAAGTCAGTGTGTATACCAACAATAGTATCACTTGAAGAGTATTGATCAGTATAATTGTACTTTACTTTAATGTGCACTAGGATACCAAGAAAGTATGAGAGCCGAGAATAAATTCATCAGGTTGGTGAATGATTGAGAAGCAAAATTCTTTCTTCACAACCAATTATTTAACAAGAGCCAACATTTTGATGACCATCTGTCATCATCATACTTGCCCCCATGAAAATAAATAATGTATCAATGTAATCAATGTAATTGGACATCTGTCATCATACATGTAATTGCCCTGATGAACACAACAGTCATGGAATCTTCGGCACTTGTTGAACAAGTGGCTGTGAATAAAGAACTATAATGCTATTTAAGATGCATGACATGTTATTTATTGTTCTATGCACCAATAAACCAATAAGCTCTTTTCCTAAGAGTTAAAGCATGTAACGTTATGGATTAACGTTTAGAGTGAAAGGTAAGTTGTGTGTCCAGGACCCTGATACTAGATAGAGAAATTGGATGTGCTTCTTTACGTGTCTCTTTCAACACAGGAATATACCAAGAGGTTGACTCCTATCCATGTGTTTTATTAAGGAATTTAATTGAAATTTTATCTCAAAAGCACCCAAAGCAATTGGATGCCTTTAACTTGGCTGCAGATAATACCTTCCCCTTGGATACTTCTTGGTGACAACTATTTCCCATGTCAGTTAGAATATTTGATTCATGCATAGACTATGGGAACAATTGATTTATGTCTACTTTTTGCCAATTTTTGGTTATAGCCAATAGTAATTGACAGTGTACTCTTGCTGAAGGTTTTTTGAAATTTTAATATACAATGTAAATTATTGTTGGCTTGGTTCACTGACCAGAGAAATGTTGATGTTAATAGTTGTAGCTCAGGACTGTAGATATGAAGGAATGTACAGATAATTAATACAGGATCATTCTACAAGGGGACAATCAGATCTGTTTTGGCGATGCCTCAGGGGTGGAGGCATTTTTTATGTATTGTTACCAAGGATGTTGTTACTCATTCGAGGAATATGGGGAAGATGGAAGCAGTGCTCTGAAATTAAAATAGAGTATTGAAGAAAAGGATTCAATACATGTAATCAGAGGGAACAGAAATTATTTCAGTGTATATGCTCAAAGATTTAATGTTTTGATTTTGAACATTTTTAGCAGAATAGATAAAAGACAAAACAGATATCATAATCATGTATGAGACCATACATACTGTAAAACTTCATACTGACATAGGAAGGAATTTGAAATGTTAGACAGCAACTTGAAATACAGCAGAACATGTTACCAATGTTACAAAATGTAGCAGTAGATTGGCTTTCTTAGTTTTGAATACATGTTTACTGTCACAGAAACTTGAACTGGTCATTTTTGATAGATTTATTAAATCATAGGAAGTCATACTCTTCTTGTCTATGGTTATTATAATTCTTGTAGTTCTTTACACCAGATAGAGTGACTAGTTTGATAGGAAATGTCCTCTGGCAACATTTCCTAATGTATTATGTAGAAGCAAAGAAGAAAGCTCACACTGACCACTGACTGTATCCAGCAACAATAACCTTCCATCTTCATCAAAATACTGTCATGGACCCTGGAGTTTATTCAAGCACTGGTGAGCATTGTCTTTCATTTAGCAAATTTTAAACATTCATTTGTCATATTTTACATTTAATTTAGCAGATTTGACCATGTTTAATATACAACAGTCTACTACACCCCAGTTTATTTTGGGTTTCCATCGAGTCTGGTTTCCTTTTAAACTTACTTTCATATGCATAACTTATAAATATTTCCTATAACAACATTGAGTCATCTGTCCTGTGTAAACTTTAATAGAAATGTATTATTCATCACAGTATTATTATTTTTATATCTTTCTGTTATGTGTCTCTAGGGAAGGCCCCGCCCCCTTTCATTAAAATTTAAAGGTTAGAAAACACAGACTGTCAGAATTTGTATGTCCATCACATTGGTTACCAGTCGACATTTTTGTGATCTTTTGTAGAAGTTGTATGAATCATTGTTCTCTAGGAACTCTGTGGCAGCCAATCCCTGTTCGTCTGCCCTGGTCACCTGACTTAGATCGGCCAATGGCCCTGCGACATCCGTCGGACCGCCCTGTCCATCAGTGGGACTAACAATGACCTAAGGCTGAGGAATACTTCCGGGTTACGAAATTGCGCATTTCTGTCCGAGAAAGTCTTGAAGCACCTGGAGACAACGTCTAGCGTGAACAACAGACGTTTAACGAGGACTTCAGCAATCGACAACCACATCGAAAGAGTCCGCAATCTCTGTGCAGTGCGATAGCGTATCAGCTAACTTTCAGGTAAGAAAAGCGGACAAATATTTGGTAGTCAAAGGTCTGTAGGGACACCTGTTTGGTGTGATGTAACGATAGCTGTAGTCTGGGGCATTGCGGCCAGTAAAGCTGTTTATTTTGATTAGTGCAGCGGCATATGGTAGTGTGGATGTGGAAATAATATCTGAGAGGGTGTTGGGTTGTACTTCTTGAAACAAGAGAGACATAAGTAGTAACTAGTGATAGGATCATACTTTTTGGGGGGCTCTCGCCGTTGTCCGGGTTCGATTCCCTTTGTGGGAACAATAGGAGGGAGGATACCGGAGGGAGCATGGAAACGGAACAATAGGATTAGGACTGGAGTAGAAACGGAACAATGGGAGCATGGAATAGAAAAAGAAGAAAAGCCCCTGGGACGCGGACGTATTACCCGCCTCGAATTCGGACACGACACCAACACGCTATTTTATAAAACGCCTACTTCAAAAGGTCTGGACCCATTGGAATGGACCAGTTAGCGGCGCTTGAACCCCACTGTTCAATACACTTTTGTATGTTCAGCTCTGTAATTACCGTTTGATATGAATCCGCCCAGGACAATAGCCTTGATCCACCTGAAAACGCAAACGTAGAGTGGGGGTCTGTAGGGCGTTTACGAGATCCGTGTGTGCGTCGCATAAAAAAAAAAATTCCAGAAAAATTCATTGTGCAACATCCTGGATGGAATAACATTTTACTCTTGAAGTGATAATGGTGTTGGTGATGAGGAAATCTAAGACTTTGCTAATCCTTCTCCTAGTACTAGTATACTGTAAACCCCTACGTGAGCCCGGCCTAATTCTGACATCATCGGGCCCTGACAGGCGCCAGGTGCAACTAATAGTGGCTAGGCCAGGTACTAAGGAGAGTGTGAAGACAAAGGGACAAAAAAATCTCTGAGCAAAACACAGCAAAATATTTGTTGACTACAAGACAGTATTAGATTGGCACGTCAGTATCATTGGCAGTCGAGTATATATCCATACGCAACTGAGGCATGGATGACCAAAAATATACCAGGATTACAAAACAAACACCTATAAACACGTCAAAAATAAGCCAAAGCTCACACCCTTGCAATGTTACTCTCATTACTCTCAAAAACCCTGCATAGAATCAGTAACAACATGGATGTAGAAAAAGACCTCTATGGTAACAACATGCGGCACACAGCTCACAATTTGCCCATCTTTTAATAATTAATGGTGTCTCGGCAGTTTCAGTTATGTAAGTTGTTTCAGTAACCTTTACAGATGATGAGCATTTGTTATTTCAGCATGTTTTATAGATTGCTTGTTTCATTTTTTTTTTAGAGGTTGATCCAGCTCTCATTGACATGGCGACAACAGGCAGCATAGAAGCTTTGGATGACGTCGTGAGAGGATCATCAGGGGGTTCAGCCAATACTGTGTCCATCAGGCAAGGAGGATCAGCGGGGGGTACTGCCAACACTGTTTCCACCTGGCAAGGAGAAAGGGGGAGGCAGGACAAAGGTGTGAAAGTGTTCGGGTGTGAGGACTGTGGCAAGAAGTTCAGTAGTCTTAGTAATCTGAGGAGACACAAGCTGACTCACACTGCAGAGAGACGAGTGTTCGGGTGTGAGGAATGTGACAAGAAGTTCAGTAGTCTTGGTAATCTGACGAGACACAAGAAGCTGAATCACACTGGATTAAAACCCTACATGTGTGGGGAGTGCAACAAACAGTTTGGTGAGCTTGCAAGTCTGATGAAACACATGTGGACTCACACAGGGGAGAAACCCTACATGTGTGAGGAGTGTGGTAAGCAGTTCAGTCAGCTGTCAAATCTGACGGGCCACATGCGAACTCACACTGGGGAGAAACCCTACATGTGTGAGGAGTGTGGCAGCCAGTTTGCTGAGCCAGGTAATCTGAAGAGACACATGCAAAGGCACACAGGTGAGAAACCCCACAGGTGTGAGGAGTGTGGCAGGCAGTTCAGTCATATGGGAACTCTGAAGAGTCACATGCGAACTCACACTGGGGAGAAACCCTATAGGTGTGAGGAGTGTGGCAGGCAGTTTAGGGAGCTTTCAAGTCTGAAGCAACACATGACGATGCACACAGGGGAGAAACCTTACAGATGTGAGGAGTGTGGCAGGCAGTTCAGTCGGCTGGGTTATCTAAAAGCTCATAAGCGGACTCACACTGGCGAGAAACCCTACAAGTGTGAGGAGTGTGGCAGGCATGTCCGTGATCTGACTAAGCACATGCGGACTCACACTGGCGAGAAACCCTACAAGTGTGGGGAGTGCAGCAAGCAGTTTAGTGAGGTTTCAAGTCTGAAGATGCACATGCGAATGCACACAGGGGAGAAACCTTACAGATGTGAGGAGTGTAGCAAGCAATTCAGTCGGCTGGGTCATCTAAAGCACCACATGCTGACTCACACTGGCGAGAAACCCTTCAGGTGTGAGGAGTGCGGCAAGCAATTCAGTCGGCTGGAAAATCTGAAGGAACACATGAGGGGTGCTCACACAGGGGAGAAACCCTACAGGTGTGAGGAGTGTGACAAGCGTTTCAATCGGCTGGGTTCTTTGAATAGGCACATGCGGATTCACACCGGTGAGAAACCCTACAAGTGTGAGGAGTGCAGCAAGCAGTTCAGTGTGCTGGCTGGTCTAAAGATACACATCCGCACTCACACTGGCGAGAAACCGCACAGGTGTGAGGAGTGTGGCAGGCAGTTTGCTCAGCCAGGTAATCTAAGGAAGCACAAGCGAACCCACAGGGGAGAAACCCAAAAGAAGTGAGGACTGTGGCATGCTGTTTAGCACCACAGTTTGAAAATCTCATTGGCATAAGACGTGTGAAAACACTGCATGGAAGTGAGAAAGTATATAGGGAGTTCACTAGAAGACTATGAAGTCATCACAAATTGTTAGTTTAGTCATATGATAATCTCAACGATACGCAAGTTCTGTAACATACTGGTTGTTGTACTGGCCAAACAGGCTTTTCGTACTTTTAATATTGTATTTTCTATGTATATGTAGTGTATGGAACTCTCTATTGATAATATTCTCAAGTTTTTGAATTGTAAAAGAGTCTACAATTCAGCCATTTAGGCTGCCATCGACTTTTAGACCTGTATGTCTATTTATTTGTTTATGAATAAACCAGTCATCATCATCATCAAACGGGGTCGTGTGGTAGCGTGTTTGGCTCAGGACCAAAACTGCAAGAGGTCCCGGGTTCGAATCCTACCATCACTGATCTTGTGCCCATTGGGAAAAGCACTTGACATTACTTCCCTCACTCCACCCAGGTGTAAAATGGGTACCTGACTTCAGTTGGGGAAGTAAAAGACAGTGGAAGGAGAGGGATGGGCTCCACCTTCCAATACCATGCCCAAGAGACTGGATTAAAAATCCACTGCCCCTACGGCCTGAATAACGCTACGGGACTACTGTTTTTAAAATCTCAAACAGACAAATTGTACATACTAACACAATTAAGATGTAAGTCTGCAAAGTGGTATCACAATTAAGTTTCAAGTTTCATTAATTTTCTTATTGCTTTTATTGCGGCAGGCAATCCCTTTCTTTTGCAAACATTCCTTTAGTTATACATGATGTATATAATATATTACACGGTGTCCTGGTAGGACGAAACAAGATAGTCAGATAGAAAATTTAATGTTCTGGGGATTGACTTTTTTGTTTAGTTCTTGTTAGGCCACACCAATTTAATTTGTTGGTTCTCGGATTTTTTCAGAAAAAATATGAAGCGACAGGGCGAAAAAAAATAAAAATAAAAACAGGTCTAGGCATCCTATCATAGCCCCAAATGCTACAATATGAGCCATGAAGTCAACAAAAAAGGCTGGGTTAAAATTTAAAGTATAAATTTTGAACTTTTAATGAAACCACTGCATTGATAGATGGAAAAAACTGTAACTAGGAAGAAAAGGAATTTCCTCAACTGTTGGGGGCAAAATATGAGCATTTTTGAGTTGATTCAGAACAAGAATCTTTTTTTTTTTTTTGCAAATCAGAAAAAAATGAAGAGGCGAATCCGAGAACCAACAAATTAAATTGGTGTGGCCTTATCTTGATTCTTTATATCTTTGGTGGTAGGGCTTCATGTCTGTATAACCAATATAAATAAACCAATAAATGTAACCAATATATTCGTAAGAAGTAAATACTAGCATGCAGCAGATGCAAACAACTTTGTTTTGTTTTGCTGTAATAAGTCTTAATATGTTGTTGTATAGGGTGTAGGAAGTAGGAAAACATGGATTGTATCAGACTATACAGTTCTGCTCTCTCTTTGTTGTACAGTTTACATTCCATTACAAAATGTTTATCATCTTCAATTCTTCCTAGATCACAGTATCGACATATTCGTTGCTCAAGGGGAGTGTGGTTATGTATTCCACTTTCGCTGTGTAATTTGTAGCAGCTTATTTGCAGTTTTGTGACGACAGTTCTGTGCTGTAGATTGTCGATACTCCGATAAATTTTCTGATACTGTTCTTCAGCATGTTGGTGGACTTAAACAGTCTGTAACTTTAAGTGTAAGACCTCAGCTTGTTTTTGGTGGATCTGCCTTTAATAGATGAGCTTTTTATGAATAAACAAGGGTGTAAACAAATATGTGTGTGCATTGATATTTGATATAAGACACCATGTACATTATACTAGTAGTAGTAAAACATTGGATAAGTTTTAGTCATTTACTAGTGACAAAACAGGAAAAAGCTGTGACACCCTAGCAATGATTTGTCTAATTTTTGTTGATTTATCTTCAATTTTTGGTGAAAGCCAATAGTACTTGATAGTGTAGAGATCTACTTTTCCTGTTGATTACATGTATTTAAAGTTTTAATATAGATACATGTAGGTATATATGTACTAAATTGTTGTTGGCTTGGTTCACTGTGCATTGATCAGAGAAATATAACCAGCTTCAGAAGGTGTGAGAACAAGGATTTGGCAAACTTAAGACCTGTTTTCCAAGGAGGGGCCAAAGATAATTCCAAGGGCATGTCAATGCTTCAACTGCCCAACATTTTTAGCAGAATAGCATATTTTAATATCACACATCTTAAAACTATTCAAAGTTGTAGTAGCCTTTATTGGAAGTCAAGTCATTTTGAAGTAGCTCTCATCAACATTGTCACAATAATCTTTGCTTCAGCTTTTATACAATTTTAATACTTGCATGTCAATAACCTTCCACATTAATTTTCTACATAAAAGAGCCACTTCATTGTCATGGTTCTTCAACAGTTACCAGCATAACCAAGATTCAAAGTTTGTAAATATTCACAAATTACTGCAGCAAAAAAATGGCATTCATACAATCAAGGACATTTTGTAAAATGCCCTTGATATAATGCAAATTGTTTTTTGTAAAAGATACCTTCTCTTCTGTCAGATTTCCTAAGCCTGACTTAACAAAACATGTCATAATCATGTCATGGAAAGACCATACACAATGTAAATGTTCCTGACATATGCAGGAATATGGCATGTAAGACAGCACTTTGGAAAAGCGGAACATTGGCTTCCCTAGTTTTGAATACATGTTCATTGTTCACTATATGTCACAGAAACTTGAAGTGGTTCTTTATAGATTTATTAAACCATAGAAACTCATACTGTTTATGTCTATGGTTATTATACATGTAATTATTTCTGTGGTATCTTTACACCGAATAGAATGAGTGTTTTGACAGGAAATGTCCTCTGTTTTGCCACATGACCTCTGTATAAAGCAAAGAAGAAAACTCACACTGACTATGCAGCAACAAAATCTTCATCAAAATACATCTCATGGAATCTGGTGTCTACTCAAGCATCTGGAATAACTAATGGAGCATTTTCTTTCATTGAGCAAATTTTAAGAATTCACTTGTCAATATTTATATCAAATACAAATGTAAACACTTAATTTAATTTATTAGCAGATTTGACAATGTTAATAGTAGTCGAGTGGTTTCCAGTCTGCTTTTCTTTTAAACTTACTTTCATATGCATAACCTATATGACTACATTGAGTCATTTGTCCTGTGGAAACTAAGAAATGTATGGTATATCATTATACATAGTATTATTATTATATCTATACTATAGCACAATAGAAACCCCCTTTCATTAAAGGTTAGAATCATAGGAACTGCAGACTGTCAGAATTTGTATGTCCATCACATTGGTCCCAGTCAGCCCGGTTGTAACCAGGCCTTGTCCTCTGTCGACATTTTTGTAGAAGTTGTACGAATCATTGTTCTCCAGGAACTCTGTGGCAGCCAATCCCTGTTCGTCTGCCCTGGTCACCTGACCTGGATCGGCCAATGCCCCGGCGGCATCTGTGGGCCCATCCTGTCCATCGGTTCCCGCGCTCATGAACACCACTTGTGAGCGACGCTCGTATCGGAGGTTCCCGTCCCTGCTCATCGCTACAGCAGTGGCAAGTGCCATCTCCTGGTTTCTCCCACCTTTCCCGTCCCCCCTCAGGGTGACAGTAGTTTCTCCCGCGCTTATGATACACACCGGCTTTTTCTGGCTCTCAGCCTCTGCGGCAACTTGTAGCACGGACCTCAGGCACGAACCATCCACGCCGTACTTCTGCAGGAGGGAGTTAAAGAGCGATTTTTCAATTATCCTATCCCTGTCGTTAAACACGTTAACCAGCAGTGCGGCCATGGTTGCGTACATCTCGCCTACCGTGCTGGCCTCCCCCTGAAGACAAGTGGAATGGACCAGAGTCCTATACCCCAGCTTCTCTGCGCACAACTTTGCGGCGCTAACTGCGATGTTGTTGCTTCCGACTAGGACGTTCTGGACGTGTGAAAAGTCCTGGTTTTTGCTGCTCTTCCTTTGGTACTGCCTGGTGAGGTAGCTCCAGACGGACAGGGGGATGGCGTCCTGGATGTCGTACTTGTGGATGACGTTGATGGCGTCCTGCGGCGTGGAGGAGTCCGGGACGGTGGGACCGCTGGCTATCAGGTCAAGGGGGTCACCGACTATGTCTGACAGGATCAAACTGATGACCTACAGAGAGACCAGAACAAAACATGAAGTCTGAGAAATCAAACCTAGCGCATGTAAGTAATATTTGAAGGCCTGCATGCCCTTTTTCATAAGGTTTAATCATGCCTCGTTAGTCTTCAGAATCCCTAGGCAGCCATCCAAAATCATTGTACAATGTAATTCGTAATCAGTACATTAGCCATAACATGTAACTGTTCATAATCAGCTCTTAGAATTTAGCGTAATCGGCGGTGAAAATATGGGTAACTCGTAATCACTACCCCCCATGCAGGCTCTCATAAAACTATGTCTCAGACAGTAATGCATAATATTCAAAATGACTGCCGATAATTTCTTTTCTGTACCTGTGCAGGCTTGGCAGCCAGAGCTAACTTGCCGCCCTTGAGTGTGGACAGGTTCTTCCTGACAGTGTTCAGCTCGGTGATTGTCGCCCCCCTGGCAGCCAGCAGCCTGGTCACACTCTGCTTCTCCTGTAGGCTGACTGACGGGACAGGGGCGGGCAACAGGGCAGAACCACCACCTGAACACAAACAGCGTACATCAGGCAAATGGTGGAATTTATGGGGAGATGCAAGAACAGGGCTCAAAATACTGGGTGCATATGCACCTTAGTGCACGTAAAATTAGGGCAGTACATTTCAATGTTACCTGCACCAGTGCAGATTTGCAGAAAAAGCATTTTGAACCCTGTAGAATAACCTACTTTGTTAAGATAAGACTACCATTTGGTAAAGAATACATGTATGATTAACTGATCAATTGAGAAGCATTAATTATGTCAGTCAGTCATAAAGGTCAACATAATTTGGCCTGAGGTATGAGATCTTGGAACTCTGGTTTTTACCATGTTTTAGTTGTCATCAGGCTTTGCTTTTTTACATTTGCCACCCTCAGGTTTTGGAAGGGATCACATTTTGGAATAAAACATATATGTACATTCCACTTGGTGTT